TTCTCTCCACAACCATGATCTTGGCTAGGTAGCTGAGCCTAATGCGGGATTCCACCCATTTTCCATTTAATACTTCCCCTATGGCGGTCAATCGGATCATCACTCTTCTGGATTTTGTCTGTACCGGGCATGCTGCATGTGCACACTTGCACTTCCCAGCATACCTTGTCAATGTCTTCATTCTCTTTTACCATCCCTCTACTTTCCCCGAACCCAAGATACAGGATGCACTGGCACCTTACGGGCTTTGCAGAGTGGTACACTCGTTTTGCCGTACCATTGTGCATTTGCCACTTTCACTTGTGTCCATACCATGATTGCCACGGTGTGCATGAAGATGGTATGTTTCCTGTCGCAGATGTCAGCAAGTACCCTCATTTGTTTTGCCATTATGTCTGGTGCACAACTATATATCCAAAAATGGTATAGGTTGGATGAGAGCAGGACGCGCATCCCCGTATGCACAATGTAATCTCGAGGCCCATGAGTATACGTACCTTTCTCACAAATACTTGGAGAGGGAACGGTTGCAAGAATAAGATTCAGTATCTGCATGGAAAAAGCTTATGCCACAGGAGAAATACGCAAGGCTGACCATAGTGATGCCTACGGTGTGCGCAATAGAACATTGGCTATGGTGTCCTTTTGCATCTTTTGTAGGGAAAGGAGAGGCCCATTGGGAAACCTGCATCTCTGCTGCCCAACACTTCCCTGAAGACAGTGACACCGGTTAGTGCTGAGCGGTGACAGTACATATAAGTGTAGTCTGCTTGTATATCTTAATATATGCTCTCCAATCTTTGGCATAGGATCCAGTGCTCGCATTCTGTCACCTTCATCTGAATCATTGCATGTGATTGTGACAGTCACGTGATATTTTCTCAGCGGCCCCGACATCGCAGTCTACCTTTGCTTGTTTCCAACCATCTCCTTTGCAATTGGCTGCCATCTCTCATACCGCTGTTACAAAAATAGTGTTCAATGAGTAACCACAAACAGACCCCAACTCCGAAACCCACTGAAGACAGTCCGGAGGCGCCCCAGACTCTATACATCAAGGTGTGTTTGCTCAAATTGTGGATAGATGGAGAATCCCCAATCTGGCGGACCAGGAGATCCATCCTCCGTCTCCTACTTACACAATTTTCCAAAATCTGATATGGGATCTGTTAGGTGATGAAGTCTACTGGGGAAAAGACGTATTATAAAGTGAAAAGAAGCACGGCGTTGGGCAGGGTGCATCAAGCTTATGCCAAATGGCTCGGAATCGGCTCATCTACCTTATGGTACGTAACTCTCTTGGTGAATCTTAATTTCCATCAGAGCTCGCACTTTGTGGGAGGTCCTGCCCGTCAAATTGGCCTATGGCTGGTAGATCCTTCCATCACGTGCTACTAAGTCTCACATGTAGGCTCATATATGAGGGCGATTGTATGCTCTACACGGACACTCCCGAGAGCTTGGGAATGAAAGAGGGTGGTATGTCATTTCTCAGTTGCATGCTGCAGCTGTATCTGACCGGTTCTTGTCCCTCAGACACTATTGACGTTATGGTTCAATGTGAGTGTATCATCCAGGGGGATTGGAGCTTGAGGCTAATCTATTTTCCATCTTTTGCAGAAATTGGTGGCTGAGTGCTGTGTCCACTTTGTGTTGTCTCTAATGTTGCTAGCAAGAAATAAGCTGGCTTTCTTCCTTATAAATTGTCTGCTCTCTTCTTCTTCTGCCTTCTCGGAGTCCTTCACCCCTTCTTCTTTATTTTGCGATGTAGCGCAACCGAATATATAAACAATACCCGTCAGGTCTCCGTATAAGAATAATGAACACTCAGTGTCTGGATTTTGGTTGTTTCCGTGATTTGCTCACCCATGATACTGTGCAAGGGCACACTTCAAACGTGGCCGTATCCTGTCTTCAGTTTTGGACCTTTCAGTCCATGCTTTAGAATCCCATATACAATTGAGGCAAGGCTTTGCGTGTTCCGCATTCTGGGTGCTCTCAGCAATTGACTACCTGGCGGATTACTATTGTACGAGTTGCAATCCGACAGCTGCTTGCAGTAGCTAAAGTACACACGGCAAGCATACACCTTGCGAGAGCAACACACTATGCCGCACCCGCTACTTGAGGCATCTCCCACAGGTCTTCTTGTGAGAACCTTGCTGCTAGTAATCGTGGTGCAACACTGTTTGGTCACCGTATGAGGTGATTAGTTTACCCTGTGGTGTGGATGGCTCATGTATCTAGTTCTATACTTGGATCTGTTTGAGGGATGACTTGCATCGTCAAAGCCAGGAGTAGGAAGAGGTCCTCTCCTCTGACATCTGCTCGAGGAGGTCCATCACCAAACATCAGGCCTGCATGTTCATCCATTATGGGACTGGTTGACGGTCCGTGGGTTGTCAGCACCATAAGCATCTCACACTGTGGTTGCATTCACACCTCAAATAGCTATACGTGGCCACAATGGCTTTGTCGATGGCGCCTTCTACAGGTAAAGCCCCCTGCTCAAAGGCAATACAAATGGCAGCAGTCACTCAGTGAAAGATGTCCCATCCATCAATGTAAATTTGCATCAAAAGTGACAAGCAGACATTTGCAACCATGTGAATGAGCTCCACAAAATTCTTAGGAAGCCACTCAAAATCTTTTGGGTCTCTAATGAGCTCGGACTTGATACGGTCGAGAAAGCCGGTCACACTCACGCCGTCTATGATGAACCGAGTTATGAACCTCTCACGGTCAGGGCTTGAGTCCCAGGGACCACCATTACCACTCTCCAGCATCAAATACCCGGGTGTGATTGCAAAGGCCATCACAAATCTCAGAAGGCTGTCGACCTTCACTGCCCAGGTATTGCTCCTAGTCTAGAGCAGGGTTGCGAAGGGTTCCAGGAACTCATCATTGGACATTGGATACGCATCTGCCCTGCATTCTGAGTCACATGATAGGCGTGAAGCATTCGAAGTGTGATACTCACTTGAATTGTTGCAGAATAGTGTAGAGCACAATGAATTGTGTTGTAGGAAACACTCGTTCTGGCGCATATGTGCTGATCTCAGACCTGTGCATCCACAAGTGCTCCGTCACTTTCTGGCAGTGACTAGAAACGGAGGCGACAACATCTTCGGTAGCCCTCAGGCAGAGGCAAAACAGACCCAGGACACCAAATATCAGGCCCAGCACGTGCTGCATCATATGGTAGGCTCAACAACAGGGTTCGCGAGTGGAAGTGGAAGCCTACCTTGTTTTCTTCCAAAACTCCCTCATGAGTGGCCATGCCGCAAAAGACTCCTATGATTCCGGCTTCGACAAGAGTGTGAAACACGTGCTTAGTCTGGTCCGAAGCAAGGGTTGTCATCATCTGTTCCGTCACAAGGACGAACTCTCTCACGCTCAGACACATGGCGGGTTGAGGGCAAAGGGTCAAGCACAGCTCATACAGCTTGACGTATCTCTCCAGTGCCTTCTTTGGGTCCGTCTCCAAGTCGCGTGCAATGATCATTCTGATGACGGGCTGTCCGTCTGGTTTCTTTTCGCTGCAATGGAGGTGGTGGTTTTTGTATCCCAATTCAAAACCTGTGCCGTATGGAGAGTCAACAAGAGTGATGTCAGGTCCCACAGGAGGTAAACTGAGCAGGGAGTCATCGGTCAGACTCGAGTTCATGTCAAGGAAGATATGTCGAAGGAGCTGTGTGCCAGGGAACTCGATGGCAGTATTGTTCCATGCTCTCGTGGGGTGCTCGGGTACTTAAGGCCTCGAAAGATAGAAGGTACGGCACACCATTGAGTCAATGGCGGTTCTGTGCACGTCACTTCAGGGTTGATGCACAGGACCATTTTTTGGCGTGAGATAAATATCTTCTTCTCCACCTCTCTACAAGGCCTTCACTTGAAGGGATGCAAGTGGCTAAGTCTGAGACACATGATCGTCTCACGGAACCCAGTGTCCCCTTCCAACTTGTTTTGTGTCGACCGGCTCAAGCGTATCTCGAGCAAGGACCTGTGCGAGTCACCGTACACCCAAGAAGCTCCTCGCACACGACAGCGACCTTATCAGGCCAGAGATGGCTTTCCTGCCATCTTCACTCAATACCGTCAGGTCGTCTAGTGTGGTATTCTTCCAAATGTCAGGAGTATTATTCTAATGGGGCGGTATGGTGTTACGGACACCCGATTATCCATTATCTTTTTCCTTTCCTTTTCCCTTTTTCCGGACTCTCACGTGACTCGGCAATCCCCGTGACTCACGCTCGACTCATCTAGTTCTCGCACCTTGTTTACGGTTGTTTGCCTCGTCATACCTATATAAGACTCCGCCCCCGCTTGTAACTTACTCTTAACCTTGATCTAGTCAATACACCGGCTACCTAGCCGCTTGCCTTGGTCTCTACGCTCGCCCTTGTCTGTGTTAGTAAGCGGCCGCCTAGCCGTTGCTGACATTAGATCAAGGTTCTCAACTCGCTCTCACGCTCGTCGCCGCCGTTACCGCCTTTGTCACTACCGTTGCTAGCTTCGTCATCGTGCCTCGCCTCGCTTCGTCTGCTACCCTACCAAACCTGGTAGTTCCCTTTTCGATCCCAGGGATCGCGTTAAGGAGTTGGGTCTACCGCCGTCTCCGCAGTCTTCGTCGCTTGCAACGCGCTCACCTTGAGCACGCCGTTGTTCTTACCAACTACATCGAACGTAGTTCTGGCAGACTCTTGGTAGAGTACAGCCGCCTCATCAGCTTGGAAGTCATCTACCGTGAAGACCGCTTGGACACTCTTCACTACACGTACGAGCCCGCCTTCCAACACTTACGCTTCGCTCGTGACGGACCCGTACCGGCCGTTATCTGGGACCCATTGCAGTTATTGGTCGTCATCAGCTCGCATCGTCTACCATCGCCGCCGCCCTCGCCTCTCCGCACCCCGAAGGCCATCACCTTCAATTTCGAACCCGCCACTGAACCCACACCTGCTACACACCCCGAAGACTTCCCGCCCAAATTTTAAGTCATGCCGTACGTTGACCCCGCCAATTACCCCACGGATATTCCGGAGGGTGGCTGGCATGCGGACGTTGACGACGCTGACGACTTCCGTCTTCCGTCCGGTCTTGACACAGACCTCTTCCTTTACCGCGCCGAACGTACGGACGGCTCGCTCTTCTGGGTCGTGAAGGAGAATGCGCGCACGGCTGCGCGCTCACCCACTGCCGAGCAGTTGGCTGCAGCTATCGGCTTCTCCAAAGATCGCCTTATCCGCGCCCTCTGGGCCGAGATCGGCACCCTCCACGCTCAGCCGCCTCAGCCGCCTCAGCCGCAGGGCCCACAAGGCCCCGCTCAGGCTGCTGCCGCCCGTCCTCAGCAAGTTCGCCTGCCACTGCCGCGTAGCTTCAGCGGAGTGCCCACCAAGGAGGGAGTGTACAACCCGGAGCCGCGTGACTTCACCGTCACCATCAGCCATTACGTGTACGCCCAGAGTCAGGAACTCGGCGTGGCCTTCGACGAAGACAGAAAGATTCGTGTCTTCTCAAGCTTCCTTGAACAATCCGCGGCCCGCTGGTATCATCAGCTGCTCCAGGAGCGGGAGATCACCTTGCGCAGTGGCCAACCCTACACCGGCCCACTCAACGACACCGACGCCCTGGTCGCGGCCTTCCTGCGCGAATATGAGGACGTCAACATCCGTGCCACAGCCAAGCACAAGATCCGCACCCTTCAGCAGGACAGCACGGCAGAGGCGCATGTACGCTTTTTCAAGGAGTATGCCATGCTCAGCGGCTATGGCGAGGAGGCACTCATCGACTGGTTCAAGTCGAGCCTCAAGGTCGCCTTGAAGGACAAGGTCAACGGGCAGGGCAAGCAGCGTCTGACTACGCTGGAGGGCTGGTATGAGGATGCCATCCTCTTTGACCGGCAATATCGGGAGGACCAGCTGGATCGCGCGCTGGCACGCAAGTCTTCGCAGCCGGCCACCGGCAACACGTCCGCGCGCAACCAGTCCGCCGGCGCGAACAACAATACCGGTCGGCCCACGGGTGGCTCGCAACAGCAGCAGGCACCGCGTAACGCCAACCAGTGGCAGCCACGCAACGGCAACTGGCGCCCTTGGGGCGCTCCCGCCCAGCAACAGCGCGCACCAGCACCAGCGGCCAAGACTGGCGTGGTCTCCATGGACATTGATGCGGCCAACGCGGCCATGGCGTGTTACCGCTGTGGTGAGAACCACTTGGCGCGCAACTGCGACACGCCCACGGAGACTATTCGGCAAAAGTACGGTCGGGATAGGATGATTCCTTTCCCTCCGGGCTATCGGGCCCGCGCCACCACGTTCGCCAATGTGGACGACTTCGCCGCCTCGCTGTCTCCGGCTGATCGGGCCGACTTGGCACGCGTGCTGCAGAGTGGAGGGGAAGCACCGGCTGCTCCCCCAGCTCAAGCGTTGCAGCAGGGTTTTGCCAGCGGCTCGTCGTGAACACGGCACCTCGAGCCCCTTCTCGGTTCCACGGACTATTCAACTCATTCACATCGCGCGCATCTACCTCGTCTCCGCTACTCAGATCGCAGGGCGTTACCCCTGCCCCTCATGTACCAGAGCCGGATGATACTCCGGCCGTAGCTCTATTCACCCCCACGCCCAATGATAATGAAAATGAAGTTGCTGAATTTGTCTCGTGTGAACCCAAACCCGTGTCCGAGTCAACGGATCAAGACCTCCCTCATACTCGGAGGGGAGGCAATCGCTACGC